GGGGGGGGGGGGTCAGAGCTGGATTTGAATTCAGACACTGCAGGTATTCCTTTCAGTATTTACTGAGCACCTACTGTAAACCTGGCTAGAGCCTCAGTCAGGCCAAGCCCCACATCCCTGAGGATTAAGTGGATGTTGCTGGAGAACCTGCAGGTGAGGTGTGAAGAGCAGCAGGCTGTGCTTGAAGCCCACTGGCCTTGCTGACTCTGTGGCCCTGGCCTGTTTCCCAGGTGCCTGGTCCACAGCAGGTGTCCACAGAGGCAGAGGGGCCACAGAGTGCCAGGCAGAGCTAAACAAACAGGCAGGGGCAAGACAGGCTGGGGACAGAGTTGGGGGCTGGGTGAAAAAGGTGAAGGGCTTAAGAAGTAACTATTAAGGTCTCTGGCGACACCAGCCCAAAACTCCCATCTTGGGATGAGCAGTCACAGAAGCAGGAACTTGGCAACCTACAAACCACATGAGCACAAGCCCTGCCAAACCACAAGCGACCAGTGAGAACACCTGTACCCGATTCCAGGCACAAACAAGACTGAATTCTTTACCCAAACCCCACTCCCCGCTCTGCCTCCGGTGGGACTGAGCCCTATAAAAAATGCTCTACCTCCCCGGGGGTGGTGACTGCCCATCGAGCCTCACCCCACCGGCACCCAGGTGGTTTTCAATAAATCTGTTATTAACTCTCAACAAGCCTCACACTTGGCAAATCCCCTTAACAGTGACAATTGTCAGTGACAAAATAGGGAGATGTGAAGTACAGTATAGGGCATAGAGTCAGTATTGTAATAGCTGGGTACTAGGTTTATGGAGGGGCCACCTCCTAAGGTATATAAATGCCCAACCACTGCGCTGTACACCTGAAACTAATCTAATACTGAATGTCAATTGTAACAAAAATAAAAAGGCGGCCTGGGGGCAGAGTCCTGGGGCTGGCAGCAGGCTGTCAATACCCACCTGGGCCATCGCCAGGGGCCAGAGGTCGAGGCGTCAGCCTGTCGCTGGTGAGCGGTCCGCGGGCGGTTCTCTGAGGACGGAGCTGGCGCGATGGGCGCCCGGGCCGGCCTGTCGCTGCTGCTGCTGCTGCTGCTGCTGCTGCTGCG